AAATTAATGGAAAAGAGAAGATAGAAAGATTTCATACTACATATGGTGCAAACTAATATTTAGGAGAACAACAACAGTCTACCAAATTGCGTCTTTGCCTTAAATATTGTGAGATCGCACGATTCACATCTTTCACAGAGTATATTTGTATAATTACACTGAACTTTCAAAACTGGTTAGAATGTTAATGAACACTTTAATATATTGGAATTATACCTGATCTAGAATAGCTGGTTACCCAAATGTCGTCAGGTCGTACGTCTAGATTGTAAATATCAGCTGCGTGGTCGCCATAGCCCGCCGGCCAGAGATATCCGTGTGGACCAATCCGCACAAAAGGACGTATGTATCCTGTAATATTACCATTTTAACGAAAATTATTGAGTAGTTTACATTTTGTGTGTAAATACAATAAATATTAGAGAAATATAACGATATTATTTGTTGTTCCTTTTTTCTTTAATTCTAAAACTATTTCAGAGAACTTAAGGGTTCATGCTAACTTGTCAACTGCTCGCCCACCAGACATTGTCTTGCTTTACGATCGCTGCAGTGTCGACACGCCGCTTCTTCGGCTACCAATTGAGCGAGATAAAGATATATAATTGCAAGAATTGGTGGACGACCTTTGACCTTCAGTTTACATTCCCAAGACACGCGTACGAAAATATTTTATCATAGGTGTGATTTTTCGAGGACTAAGAAAGTAATTTTTTTATCGACATTATAAATACGGTAATACCTTTGTAGTACTTTTTTATCAAAGCATCTTCTTCTTCAGTTACATTTTGAATGGCGAAGGGAAATTTCTGTTTTTCAGCCATTACCTGTGGGTAAACAAATTAAATATACATGAATATGTTTTCTCTCTCTCTTTTCAGACACATTTAAAGTGACAAAGATTAAATCAAGAAAATCTCAAAGAAACTTATGAGTTGATTGCAATAGTCGAAAAAACATGAGTAAATCAGAGATAATTTTTATAATGCTCTTTGTTTTCTTGTATCTTTAATTTGTACACTTTCTTATCTGGTTTCAAATGATGCATGTTTGGGTTATTGACATTTATATTAGCTTTGAAACTTCTCGGCATTTAGTTAGATTAATTTAGTGACAAAATGAGTCCTGTAGTACATGATTATATAATATCCCATTTTTAGGCATATGTATCTTGTTTTTAGAAATATTGCTTACCTTTTTCTGAAATGCACAATGCTTGATTTTACTTAAAAAAATTTGAAGCGACACTTTCAAAAATAATTTTTACACAAATAATTTTAATGGATTTTTTTATAAAATTATTGAAAATAATAATTATTTTTATGGATTTATTATTGAATATTTTATTTTAAATTAACTTTTATTACGTCTGTGATTGTCCGTTGTTGAAAATAATCTGCTTTTAAACATATTTACATAATATTTACAACTTGTTTTCTACATATGGAAGTCGTATGAATGCTGTATACAAGAGATAAATGAGTGCTATACAATTTTAAATTTTAATTTAACGAGTTAAGGTTCAAATTAACAAAATAATTGCATAATATTTTGAAGGTCTTGCTAAAAATACTTATGATTTGGCAATGAATATATTAAATTACATTTATAGCTAAAGTCACATAAGCCAATCAACTTTCTATACATTGTCGTATTTATGACATTTAACACATTAGTATTCTAAAAGATTTGAGACATAGCAATATAGGAAAGTACTTACCAGCTTATAAATAATTTATCAAAGAAAAGAATGCACTTTATACGTTAGTTTCAAGCGAACTGAATGTACGATACGACTTCGTTGCTATCTGCAATTGATAACAAAATTAAATATTTACTCACAAACGTTTAATTCTAGTGATTATTAAAATGTAACATTTGATGTTAAATCATCATTCGGCCCTTTTATTGACAACTAGCGGGCGCTCGCGACTCCGTCCACGCGGAAAAAAAATAGTAGCGTATGGCTTCAAGCAGACTATGTTATGTATGCCAAATTTCTTGGAGATGCGTTCAATTGTGGAGATACCTTTAAGTAAACATACATCCATCCAAACACACGCATTTATAATATTAGTGAGATAATTAAATCATAATATCACATCTAGTCTTTAACTGGAAAATTATGTTTACAGTACAAAATATTTGAAATGTTTATATTATTAATAGAAGCTTCATATCTGTACGATGAACTTATTGGACGCTTTTAGAATTCACCAAACTAATAACTGACATAGTTTCTGCCGACCTTTATTACAAGGGTTCACTCTTTGGAAATTACTAAGAGGAAAGCTCGGTTATAAACTTAATTATGCGACCTTTGTTACTTTCTGATAGTTTTAATTTAAATATTTATGTTTTATTAATATAATAATCATACAATTTATCTTACTAATATTATAAATATTTAGATGGATATGGATGTTTGTTTGAAGGTAACCAGAATGGCAGACATTTGGCATAGATAGAGCACAGTCTGGAAGAAAATATAGGCTTCTTATTAAGTTTTATTAATTCCACGCGGACGGAATCACGGGCGACAGTTAGTACGTTCATAAAATAACGACAGTAAAGCTGTATTCCAGTATACATTTAATAAACAACGACAAGCACTCAAGATTTTCTTAGACGTTACTTTTAAAACTTCTTTTTCAAACATGTGAGAGACGCTCAAAGAGATTTTATATAGCGTATTGTAACTTTATGTTACTCTCAAACATGTTTATCGATTTACAAAAAGAATATAACTTATCAAAAGTACATTCACATAAGAATAAGTGTATATAAAATACATAAATAAATAGCTCTTGATAATAAAGTAGATTGTTTTTTTTTTAAATAAAAAAGACAAAATTTTTTTGAAAGCCACAGTAAAAAATATAATTTTAATTGTTATTTATTAAATAATTGGCGATTAAACTTACTCTAAATTAAAAAAAAAATCTATCAGCCGCCAAGTGCAAGTTTCACATTTCACATATTTCTACGTCAGGAACAAAGCCGTTCGATTATACTTCATATCTTTGTCATGTCCCAAAAGTACAGGGGGATTATTTTCCGTTTACGTCAGTGACATGCATTAGGGGAATCGACTTATAATTTAATAGGGAGCCAGTGATCGATCGACTGTTTGTTTCGCCTTTGTAATACAAAAGCTGTAGTTGTTTTAACTTTGGTAAAAATACAGAGTAATTTGGATCGGGTAATATTACAGGGGGGTACAGTAAAATGGGAATGTATAGATGGCTGAATTATCTTCAGAACTAAATTTGTTAAAAATATAGAACAAAGTTTGTAGGAACACATAGACTACTAATTAAGTTTTTTTCAATTCAGCGCAGACGGAGTCACAGCCGACCTCTAGTATAAAGAGTTTCACATAAAATATTTTTAAACCTCTAGACATTTCTCTGGAAGTCTGCTTGATCCGATTTATAGTTTTTATCGATTTCCCCGCTTTTCCCGTGAACAGCAAAGTACAATTTCAAGTTGTAGTCGCTGCTAAAGTTTCAGAGTAGTCAGAAAGTCTTATAAGTGGAGTTTTATTCAGTGCAACTAAGTATAACTTTACGAGATAAGTTATAAATAAAAGGATGTTTTAAAATAAATAATACCACTACCAAGTTATTATAAAGAATAGATATTGGATTTATTCTAAAGTTATTTTTACGTTTAGAAGAGACTTTTAAAATTGATTTGTTAAGTTAGTCTAATAGATACTTAACATTTATCGATAAACAAAACGTTCAAATGAACCTGGTAAGAATATTTCGTTAAGTAGTTCGTTCGTGTTGTAAGTTATCTTTTTAAATTGAAAAAAAAGATTCTAAATAGTTTTAAATGTAGTATCCATGATTTATATAAAATCCGATATGCATGTCTGTCGAAACCGTACAAACGTAGCTAATCGATCGTATCAGCATGGGATTTACTGTATTCAAATTCAACAGGATTTTCGAGCTGAATTAGCGCTTTAGGCGATTATTTCGTTACGTTGTATTTGATCGTTTCAAAGCGTCATACAATGCTAAATCTGAGGGTTATAAATGATTACTGTCCCAGGTTACACGTTACACTATTTTAAAAACGTAGTGTCCCTAATCGTACATAATAGCAAAACAGAGGATACAAAATAATTAGTAAATATTTTTGGCAGGCGCTTTTGATTACATAAATAGCTTTCGATAGTTGTATAATTACTGAGCTTCAAATGAAGCTTTTGCTCGTTTTCCTTCTTAATTCACAAAAAAATCTAATTTCAAAAACTTCAACCATAAAATTGCTTTTCAACGATCGTTCTACGTGATTTCGTCCAATCAATTTGTATGTAAATGAAGGGACTCAATTAATTCGTCGAATTTATTATAAACCTTGCTTCAGAAATACTCGAAAAATGATATTGGAAGATAATAATTTAGGCTACATTTTCTGTTGTTAAAATGATGTAAAATTTGTCTTGTCCCATTTTCTTCAGTCGATAAAAAGTGTTGAATTATCGTTGCTCTAAGATATGAGTAAACATTGTTTGTCAAATTATGAGGAAAAAGTCAAATAGAACTTGGAAAGGCGTTACGAATTATTTTATGTATGTACGTTTCTTTTGGCAAGTGAGCAAACTGTTGAGGGCCTGGACCTAGTACATTTTAAGGTTGTCTTTATTCATGAATGCCTAGTTTTTGTAAGTTTTTAAGATCATATAGCGAGTAGTAGACATGCTGTCGGGGATAAATCATTACATAAAAATTAATTTGTTATCAAAATATGAAAAGGTTTTTACTATTTGGTTTTCTGAATTCAATTTTAACTTTTCATTGACTGTAAAGATAAAATTTTAATGCAATTTTACGCCACTTAACATATCGATAAGATAAAAAAATAAAAGAAACATTAACGAAATAAATTTAATGAGAATACAACATTGTTATAATAAATTTAAATCTTCTTATTTGACAGATTATTTTAAAATTTAATACAATAAAAGTTTTTTTAAGAGAGTAAAAGTCATGTTTATAATAATAACATTATTAATTTTAATACCATTAACAGAAGAGTCCTCATTTCGTAAGTTTTTATTTTCTATAAACAACTCTGTGTGTTTTTTTCTGACTCTGACATTTATCTTTCTATCGGCTTCCACAGAGTCTTGCGTCCCGCATACACAATTCTTTATCAACGGTAGACATTGCACTTGCGACGGATTCGGCCGATGGTCAGAGAAAGACTGTCAATACGGTCTCCGTCGGCAAACGTGTACATACGGTCAGGTTTACTGGCAAGGTTGTCGACAATGCCGATGTAATAGTAATGGAGAGCTTCATTGCACTGATATTTATTGCACTGATAAGCAATCAACTGCGAGACGTGAATTATCAACAATTGGTAATCGTTGTATACCATTAAAGTACTATAGAGCGAACTGCAGCATATGTTTTTGTCCAGCATCAGGTCAAATATCTGAAGCTCGATGTACTGTAGATTCTTCTTGTCTTTCGAGCCCTCAACAACAATCAAAATCATTCACGACTATTGATGATACGAACTGTATACCAAATGTTATGTATGTCTTCCCATGTCTACAATGTCTTTGTTCAGAAGACGGAAAGTTTCGTTTGGAAAAATGCTTCGAAGTGTGTCAAGCTCAGAGTCAATTAAAATTAAATCCGCAATGCAAACCCGGTTCTTATTATAGAAGAAATTGCAATGTTTGTCAATGTTCCCAAAATAGAATACAAGATGATAAATTATGCACTAATATCTCTTGTGGGATAAATACACCTAGTTCCAATTTAGTTTCTTTAAGGAACATGCGAAAAAAATGTGTTCCGTACACATTTACTCAACCTATATGTTTGTTTTGTGATTGCAACTCTAATGGAAGAATCAATGAAGATTCTTGCCTTTTAACAGATTGCTCTACGAATTTAGAATTAAAAAGTGCAAACTACAGCGGACAGTGTAATCCAGACGAAGTAGTGCCGGTTTGCGTGGAATGCTTTTGCCTCCAAAACGGTTCAACTGATGGAAAATACTGCTCGAGAGCTTGTAATTATCAGAGTAAATTTAAAGTCTTGGAGAGAGTTTTAACAGAAAGTATACAGACGCAAAATCTCATAAAGAAATCGGATTTAAAAATAATACCATCGCAATCTTGTAAACCTAATTCTGTATATTTTGATGAAGGAAAATATTGTATTTGTTCCACTTCTGCTACAAATCTCAAACTGTGCAAATCATTCAATGATACGAAACCATTCAGAACATTACCAGATAATCAAATTAATTACAGTGTGGACATGCCGTGTCAACCTAATACGTTTGTGGACTTCGATTGTAATACGTGTTATTGTTCAAAGAAAGGTAAAATTGATCCAAAATGGTGCACATACGATGATTGCAATGCTAAAAGATCTATTCAAGAATCACACAAACGACCAAATCTATTCACAGCCGATACTTTGTCTGAGGCGTGTACACCAGGTTCAATATCTAAAGATAAATGCAATTTCTGTATTTGTCCTGAAAGCGGTTTGTCAAAAGAGAAAGCTTGCACTAAAAATTATTGTTCTGATACTGTCAATAATCAAAACAATGTAAAATTTATCTGCGAACCTTTAGCGTACTATGAAGTGGACTGCAACGTTTGCTATTGTCCAAGCGATGGACTCAAAAATGTAGCAAAATGCACAAAAAATATATGCGAAAAGAGTTACCTACGTTCAGACACCTGTTCTTCCGGACAACTTTTCAGTGAAATGTGCAATGTTTGTCTCTGTCCACCAAATGGAAATAAAAATGATAGAGTGTGTACAAACCACACATGTCCTGAGGCAGCATCGTGGCCTAGTTTTGAATTATCTGAAAATCTTCTAGAGGACAGACTCACTAGTGATACTAAAAGAAGTCTCGATTTGTGTTTTCCTGGAGAACAATTTATAGACGGATGTAAGCAATGTGTGTGTCCCGAGATGGGATTGAAAATGTATGCTGAATGTGATGCGTCCCAATGTACTGATAAAAATCAAATGCAATCAGTAACGGTAAGTCTTCATATCTTATTCATACTAAATACAGCTCTGGGGAAGTCACTTTTTTTTAAACGCGCGGTTTTCACGCTTCCGGATCAGGTCGTCCCGGTATTATTACCGGGACAAGTTTGCCTTAATTGCGTGTATTTAGCGGTAACCTTTTAGGGCTCCTTATGCAACTATAATAGCAACTTTTTGAATTTACGCATATTTTAAGGGGCATTCTATTTTCTGGAGACTTGATAATAATATGGTGTAAAGAATGTACATCTTACTTTGCAGGGAAGAGGAGGTCGTCATTTCCGAATCCGTCGTGACATGCCGTGTTATCATTACAACCAAACAGAGCCTCAGAAGGAGTGTACTCCTGGATCCATGTATATTATCAAGTAATTAATTGATTTTTTATTAAAAACTTCTGCCTTTTGTTCGATTGCTTTTAATGATTTTATAGAGCAAAGTAATTTAGAAGTAATGATTTTTCAATCACTACTTTTATAGGCAGTATTTCTTTGATTTATTATTATTATATAATCAATTTTAACCGTGTTAATTCCAGATGTCAAATGTGCATTTGCCCATATATGGGCAGTATAATGCATTTTTGTCGTCCACTAAAGAACATTTACTGCGAACAGCCATTCCCCAATGTGTTTTATGAACCGATGGGAAGGCGACATACCAACGATAGTTCAGGTCTTCTTTTGTCTTTCCTTTTATCATTTATTTTAATTTATGAAGCTGAAGTTTATGGCAGGATATATACTGTTTTGAATTTCGGATATTGTAAAATTGAAATAGATATTTCTATAGTGATTTTCTGTAAACACAAATGACGAATGATAGATCGATTTGGACAAAACCCTTTTCCTCTAAAAGAGTCGTGATGAACGTAGCGAGATGGCAAAAGAGTGCAAATTAAATTAGCAATTCGAATCCAAATTTGTTCTAGAAGTTTAGCTTTTTTTCAGAAGCAAATACTGTTGAAACAACAACGATGGAGCCAAGTCACCAACACACCAAATATCAATGTGACAAAGTGGGTCATATAATGGATTCATGTTACATCTGCGAATGTAAGGAAAATCATCAGTTAATTGAAGAGCACTGCTTCAAAAATCAAGGTGATAATTGTACCGATATTAGACCATCATTCTTAGTTGGCAATAAAGCAGTTATAATATAGATTCTTTCTATTAATTTTATTTTTGTAATTCTTTACGAAGCATGAGTGGAGAAGAAGCAAGTCATAATGTCAAAATTCAATTAGCCTTTATTAAGAACATGCTGTATATTTCTTAAGAATAGAGTAGCTTATTCTTACTCTGGTGTTGAAATATTTGTTTAAAAATATTGTTAAAATGAAAGATGTATATACATGGTGTTCAGAGGAATTTTACGGTTATTTTTACAAAACTTTTTTTTTATAAAGCTCGTTGCCGAATGGCATCCGAGTGCGATCCTTTGCTCAACCACAAGAACCCGCCACCATTGTGTTACCCTCCATTGTTTTTCGAGGCTCAGCCGGAGACATGTTTGAAACAAGGTTCAAATTAAAAACGGAATGTCTGTTTTTCATGTTGAAAATTTTCAACATTTTTCAAATGCCACAAACAGAATATGAAAGGGATATCAGAGATTCTTGTTTATATAAAGTCCGTTCCAGTTGCATACGGGTGGACATTTTTGTTCTAAAATTTTACATTTTTAGTAAAATATTTTTTAACGAGTTGACTATTTTAACCGACTTCAAAAAGGAGGTTTTCAATTCGATTCTATGTTTTTTTTGTTTGTCGATAACTCTGTCCCTAGTGGTCCGATTTTTTATTAATTAAAACATAGTTTTCATAAAGCTTTGTGTTATTTTTTATTCTAAAGGTATTGCGTGTTATTTGGTCCCATTTGTTGTAACATTATAACAAAACTGATATATAAACACGGCTAAACACTCACGTATATATACGTCCAGTGGCGGTACCGACATCTTTGGCCCTTCACCGGGATGAGTGAGCTACGGGCCGCGTCCGCGAAATAATACCAGTACCACTCATCCTGATGAAGGGCCAAAGATGGGCTCGAAATTAGTCGGTGTCGCCACCGGACTATACGTGAACACGGCTATACGTGAGTTTTTAGCCGTGTTTATATATCACTTTAGTATAATGTCTCGCGAAAGTTTGAATAATTTAACATTATAACGTTAAATATTTTATTAATTCATAGGGAATAATGTCAAAAATATATATTATAATAAATTTTCAATTATATATAATTTTGTAGAGAAAGTTATATTTATCAGCAGTTAATCTTTGTTATTAATAAACAGGTGCGTACATTTATTGCGTGAGTTAGAAACAGCTAACGATCCAAGTTTAAGCCAAGCTTTGTTTCGTATATTTTCCTTGTTTGTTCTTTAGTTACATTTTTCTTTGTGTCGTAAGTTAAGGAGAATTAACTTTTTCCACACTTCTTTGTTTAGGTTTATTGTGAAGTTAAACTGAGTTTTTTTTTTGTGTTACAATAAAAATATTAGACAAAGTTTGAAACAATTGTGTTAATTGAAATAACGAAGTCTTTATAACTCAAAGGAAAAAAATACGATTATTGAAAACGGACAATTTTAATTGGATATTTCTAAATATATAAATTACTTTATATTAAGTAACATTTTTACGCTCAAAAATTACTAAAAATGACCTAATTGGTCAATTCCAGAAACTATAAAATAATTTCGCAATCAGCTTAAAAAACTTTATCATCATCATCATAATCAGCCTTAATTCTTCCACTGCTGGACGTGGGCCTCCCCATCGATTGCCACAATGCCCGGTCCTGTGCCGCTCGCATCCAGTGCACTCCCGCAACCTTGACCAGGTCATCGGTCCATCATGCGGGAGGCCTACCTACGCTGCGTCGACCCGTCCGCGGCCGCCACTCTAGGACTTTTCGGCCCCAACTTACCAGCAGTTAAATTGTTTTAAATTTTGATCGTTATTTTAATGTAATAAAAATTCTCCAGTCACAATGTTAGTTACCATGCTCCTCCGAAACGATTTTTATGAAATTTTATATTCATATTCAGTAGAACTGAGAATTGCCTACTATGTATTCTTTATCCCCACGCGGACGGAGTCGCAGGCGACAGCTAGTTTAACTGTTAATTAATACTTTTCTACTAATATTTAATCCGAAGTAAAAATATACAAGTTAGTTTTAATGCTAAAGTTATCTATGCTTAACGACGTAACTTTGGTTGAGGTTTGCTTTTTCTTTGTTTCATTGTTTGTGGTTTCTTTAGGGGGCGAAGTTTATTACTACCGTTGTAGACATGAATGTCCTACGAATGTCTTTGAAATATATTTAATAAAGGTACACGCATACTTAATATAACACGTTACACATAAAACTATCGTTAGTAGTTATTGTCAGCAATAGTAGTAACTTAACTAGAGTCATAGTTCCTCTCTTCATATCGTCAATCTTTCAATCAAAATTTAATTACCTACTGTTTGGTGTCCGTTCGACCTAAAAGTATTTTTTCACCTCATTTTTGCTATTCATATACAATGATTATCCTAACGATATGTGAACATATACAGTCGAAACTCGATTAGCGAGTCATTGTTCCGTCTTGACGGACGACCTCCATAGGCGAGAAACTGGGAGAAAAACCTCTATGAGCGAAAAATCACATTCCTTTGGACTCTCGCTTACCCAGTTACCCAGTTTCCCAGTTTAATAAACCAAACTTTCACAATACAATCGAACATTGTATTGTGAAAGTTTGGTTTATTAAATAGTTTGAAAGTATTATCTGAACTCAGAGTCGGCAAGGGGGAACTTATTTCGTGCTATTTATAGATAAATCGTTGCCTTCATTACACAACAACTGCAGTTACAATAAAAGAAGCAATAACTAAGCACATTTGTAACATCATTGTTGGAGTTGCGAGTACTTAAACGACTCAACTTATGTATTTTGAATACTCTTGAGGTTTTGTTTTGTTGTGTGTTTGTTTATTATTGTTATTTTGGTTCGTACAATAACAGTTGATTACGAATTCGTATGCAAGGAATTAAAAAACCTAGTAATAAATAAAGCCTATGTTATCCAGGGATAATTTAGTTTCCCAACAGTGAAGGAATTTTTCAAATCGGTAGAGCAGTTACGGAGCCTATTTAAGGCAAACAAATAATCAAATATTTATAATATTTGTATAGGTAATGATTCTAGGTAGCTTAATTCGTTGCAAGCATCGTCGAAGACAGACAATACGTAAATTAAAACGGTCATTCGATCTCAAACGTCAAAGAAGTAGATTCATATTTGTCTCTAAAGGAGACTCTTTGTATAGATTTAGTATCAGAGATCTACACTAATGTACGGCTTATGTAATTATTACATGACTCTGAGTGAAAAAATTATAAAAATACATTGATTGTGCATTACACATTATTTTACTAATGTTATAAATGCGAATGTTTAGATGGATGGATGTTTGTTTGAATGTATCTCTAGATCGGCTGAACGGATCTGGATGAAATTTGGCATACATATAGAACATAGTCTGGAAGAACACATAGGCTACTAAGTATGTTTTTTAATACCGCGCAGACGAAGTCGAGTAGTCTAAAAATAAAAATCAAATCGTGCACATATAAAAAATAATAAGAAAATGTTGTATGGAGCAAATATAACGGATATACAAACGTCGGAACGTCAACCGCGATATCCAGCGAGGGGTAAGAGAAATGAAACGAAACGAAATTAGGGAAACAGATTCTGGGAATGACGTGTGACGAGACGGGTAATTGCTCAGAAATAAGAACACGCTATATGTGAATTGTCACGTCAAAAAATAAAACACGGAAATTCAAGCTTACTGTGTACGTTTTATTCGTGTATTTTTGTGTTGAATATTTTACGAAAATATGGAAACAGGGTAACGGGAAAGCATTTCTAAGAATATTCCAGCTGTGATTAAAATTTTAATAGACAAAAATTGCACCTGTACATTGGATATGAATCTTTTCTTCTTTCTTTTTATTATTTAAGCGTTAATAGCCTAATGATTAAGGGTACGGATTTCCGATCACGAGGTCGGGGGTTCGAATTCCGCCATTTGACTATTGTCGTAAACCATATCCTAGCACAAGCCTAGAGCTTAATTGGAATGGTAGAAGAAATATTAGTAAATTTCCAAAAAAAATTGCTATTATTAAAAAAAATCGAGAGCGTCGGTGGCTCAGTGGTCAAGCACTTGACTTGCAATCTGCAGGTCCTGGGTTCGAATCCCGCCATGTACCAATGTGTTTTTCGATTTCCGATTTACATATGTACATTTATCCGACGTTCTTACGGTGAAGGAAAACATCGTGATGCAACCTGCACATATCTGAGAAGAAATTCAGAGATATGTGTGAAGTCAACCAACCCGCACTTGGCCAGCGTGGTTGACTATGGCCTAATCACCCTTAACTTAGGGTAGGCTCCGAGCCTCTCGGTGGGGACGTATAGTGAGCTGATGATGATGAAAAAAAATAATTTGAGGTTATTTTAACCTATTTGTTACTTATCCGATGTATTTATTTAATTCAATTTTCTGCATAACTTCTTTATCCAAAAAGCCTTTGAATCAAATTCCAACATAATTACGAAATTTGGAATTCGCTTTTACAGTAAAGATACATAAAGTATTTTAAATTCCATTTATAACAGAGTGCATTTTAATAAATCTCAGAAAGAGAATTTTGTCATTAAATTTTCTGCATTTTTAAGTAACTCTTCGGAATAGCACAACATTTTAAGCGTTTCAGAATATTGTAAAAGATTTTGGATTTCCTAGTAAATTATTGTGCAGAAGCACAATTTCAATGATGTTTGGTATAAATGGAATTATAACAAATTTTAATAGGAACAAAATCGCGTTATTGTTTCACGGAATGCACCACGTTTTTTTACATTATAAGGTGGCAATCGAGCAAGCTGCCACTTAAATTCGCAGAAATAGCGAAGAAACTGCTCCCCATAGACATCCGCAAATGCAGATGCGTTGCCTGTCTTTAATTGATGGAAAAGAGCGTCCTTTTTCCGTCAATTACAGGTAGGCATAGAAAAGGAATATTTCTTCTTCCTATACGACCACTTCCTGTCTATTCAACTTCCTATTTTAATCCTTTCCTGATAAGAATGTGATGGGAAGGTAAAGAGGATGAAAATTAGGTCTTGTTTATTTTATTCGATTCAAATTAAGTCTAAAATATGAATGGAAATACATGTAACATAAATAATTAACATCACAATAATATCTTGGAATAGTTTTAAATTTCAACAGTCGTAAAAAAATTGCTTCGAATGTTGGAACCAAATATCATATTAAATTACATTTTTCTTATGAACTGGAAAACTTTTATAACAGACATGACAACAATGGCCGGACAAAATAAAACGCACAGAAGAACAGTTCGCTGACGAAGGGCGTCCGACTGCAATCCTTTACAGCCACAAAGGAGCGCTATTGTGCTTACAGTCTCACTTGACAACGTATACTTCTCAAGTCATAAGATATAGGCGGATACTAAATATAAATATAACATCGAAATTTTACAATGAACCTCCTGT